CTTTCTTACTTACAAGGATTTCAGCACTATCTGGTATAAACTTAAAGCAAACATCCCATGTGTATGTGAAAGCACATGAAGAATTAAAATATATCTGCTAGAAATTTTTATGTATCTATAGGTCTAACACATCTAATAACTAAATAAAGACAGGTAAATTCCTCTTTTGAATTTACATCTCTTACCTATGCCTTCACTGGGAACTAGTTTATTGTATACATAATATACAGAGCTACGATAATCTCTAAAACAAAACATCCTTCTTTTGTATTATCATCATTTTCACAAGACTATCTGCCTTCTCTAAAAAATATTGGAAAAATAACATTTAGTATTGCTACTAGTGTTATGACTGGACTTTTCTGAATGTTATTCTGAATACTTTAGAAGTGAGTCAATTGTAACCAACTAAATAATAAACCAAACAAAACTACAACGTGTTCTTCTATTCCTTTATAAGTAGAAATATTTCCTGATCAGCAAATAAGTTAAATTTGATGACTTCCAAAAATCACACCCCAAAACTTCCTTCTGTTTATGAAAAGCAAAGTCAGAATAACATAACAGCAATAACAGAAATCTCCAAAATGTACTCAACTAAGTCTAACCACTTATCCATGAATAACGATCCTAAAGATCAAATCACCATGGCCAATTTTAGTTACAACGTGTTACTCTTTGTAAAAGACAATGATGGTAATTTATTGTCAAGAAGGCATGTGCCCATTCTTTTAAAGGGGTAGTTTTCAATCTGTGGGCCATAACCCCTTTGGGAGGTCAAATCTTTCACAGGGGTCACCTAAGACCATCAGAGAACAGGTATGTACATTAGTATTCATAACAGTGACAAAATTACAGTTATGAAGTAGCAAAGAAAATAACCTGATGGCTGGGGGTCACCACTGTTTTAGAGTTAGCTTGCGCAGGTCTCTCATCTACGACTGCGACCGGCTGGATTTGGTTGACGCCTATAGTTTCAGCAGAGAACACAGCGGACTCAGTGTGTGGGCCCAGTGTGTGGGCCCAGTGCCACAGTCTCGGCCACAGTCCCTCCAACAACCAACTAGAACAGTAAAGGAATGTCGTGGACATTTATCCCAGAGTTTTTCTTTTCTGCCTTTTTATTAATTTCTGCTGCCCAGTTCCTTCTGTATTTGAAGCAAATAGGTAGCAGTCTAAATAGAAATGTTCACCAGGCATTGTGCCACCCTAGGGAACAGATACAGAGTGGCAAATAAAACATACAGGCACCTGTGGATAGTCTCTGTGTTCTTAGATTTACAACACTAGTAGCTGAATCCGCCACAATTCAAGGCAGAAAAAACAGAAAATACTCCAAATAAAAGGTCTCTCCCTAATGCACTGTGGTACCGGGTATTTAGAATGTGAAATTTTAAATGAATTCTACTTATTAACTGCTTACTAGGTTCCAAACTCTAAACAAACCTAACTTAATCTCACAATTATTCTTACAATTACATAAAACAGAAACAAAAACTCCAGAGGATTATGAGGCAGAGGCTGCTGGGTCTGTCAGGGACTTAGCGGCAAGTCAAGATTCAACTCAGATTTCCCAGCACCAAAACTTCTGCTCCTCTTATGCACGTCTCCCTTGGGTTAGTGGCTTCCATGTTATATGTAGCATTAAAGGGAATTCAAACCTTCAGTTCTCTCCTTCCCTGGAGTTTCAGAAACTTTTTTGCTCATTTGGTTCTAAAATGACAGCAACTTTCCCACACCCTAACCAGTTTCCTTTCCTCCCTTCCACCCGCTTTCATATTCAAAGAGAGACGCAGACTTTGTTCTCATATTCAGACGTTTCTCTTCCCTCTTATGACTATTGCGATGAATGCTCCAGGCACAGTCGCTCTCTAAGTCAAGAGCAAACAGGGAACTTCTCTGCCCCTTCCCCTCTGCTCCAAGTTGCTGATTACCAACAGGCCTAGGCTATCGATCTCAAAGCTAGAGGACAGTTGTACAAGCACAGTGAGCCAGGCAGCGGCCACTCTGTTCCCAGCCTTAGGCCACACATGCTGAGAAAGTGGCTGCCAAAGCAGTGTCTCTGGGAAGAATACCTGAAAAGAATCACCGGGCAGTTCTTTTTAAAAAGCTTGAATGTACGTGCTTTGTCATCTATATGCACAACATGAAGAGAACTATGAAAACCCACCAGGACCAGAGGGCTTCTCCTGTACCTGCTTATTTGTAGATTTGGAAACAATCAGTGCAAACTTGCACTAACAAAGTGAAGCTGATTCTGTGCCTCACTGCACCCCACTGACAGAGCAACAAAGCACCATCACGTAACTCTGAGGAAGCTCTTCTTTCCTCTTACAGCAACTGCTTCTTAAAAGTCTTTGCCCAGTGATATGTTTTTAAAATTCAGACAGTGGCAGGGGATGCCACCCAAAATAATGAATATTAAAGTGCACTGTAAAACAAAATTAATAAAAAAATGATAAGAATAAAATTAAACGTACTTAGACTAAAAGAACTTTCTGCACTTGAAAAGGGATGTCAATTACTCCAGCAACTGAGAGCCCCCTTCACGACCAGAGCCAAACAAGTGGTCTGCATGTATACACAGATTTATAAAAAGTGTGCAAACCTGATATTCAGTCTTCAATATATACTTGAGTTCAAATAAACACAGATAAACATTTACATTTTAAGAAGTGAAAAGGAGTAAGATTTTAGTCAAAGCTTTTCTCCAGTTCTTTCAAATTATTCAAATAATTCAAAAGTTAGAAAAGTAAGCGTGTGGTAGGCCATAAATCCAAGGTTACAGCAACATTAGCAATAATTTATTCAACCTATAGTCAGGACAGTATAGCACAGATCATACACACACACACACACACACACACACCCGAGTCTCAGATGGCACTCGCTCTACAGATAACTAAACTCCAAGCACTCAATAGACACGGGTCTGCATCTCTAGGCATGAAGCTCTTTACCTGATGCTCTCTAGGTCTTGAGGGCTTCCACTATTTTTATATGAACATACTAAAATTAATTTGTTTAGATTTACTAAAATTAAATAGCGCATACTAGTAAAACACACTTCACCTGTTTCCCTTCATTCTTTTCACTGTGGTTCTTTGACATTTTCAAATTGTATAGGTGACTACCAGCCCGTTTCTGTTGAAGAACATCACATGCCTACGCGGCCTCATCTAGCACTCAAGCTTCAAGTGTCCTGTTTGGTTTGAAACAGGCTCTAGTAACTTAGCCCTGTCTGATCTTCCCACAGGTGAGGGAGCACAGGTAGGAGGCACAGTGACACTCTGTAAACAGGAAGCTGCTTTTTATTCAACTCAGAAGTTTTTGCACTGACCTCACTTTTTTCCAATTACATTAGACACAAGTGACAGGTAGACGGTTGTTTATTCACTAAATTTCTTTCATTCACTGAAAACCCTAGCCAGGTAGGGCAGCTTTCGCCTGCAGTCCCAGAACCAGACTGGAAGGAACAGGGGGATCGGGAGTTCCAGGCTAGGCTCAGCAATTGAAGACTGTCTCAAAATAAACAAACACAACAGGTAAACCATCAAGATCTTAATCATTCATGATTCAGAAACATGTTTGTTTGACAGGGAACCCTGAATTCCCCTAAAAGAGGAACAAAACAAAAAGGTCTTTGTTTTTTTTGTTTGTTTGTTTGTTTGTCTTGAGATTTTGAGGATATTTTTAGACTGTCAATTGGGGGGGAGAAGCTTATTTTGCTTTGTGTGTGTGTGTGTTTTGTCACCTACCCCTTATTTGTTTGTTTTGTGGATTTTTTTCCCCTCCTCAGGTTGTTTGTTTGTTTGTTTGTTTGTTTTGAGACATGGTATTACTAAGTAGCACTGGTTGGCCTAGAACTTAGGACAAAGATCAATATGACCTTGTCTCTACCTTTCAAATGATGATATTACAGGAATGCGCCATCATACCTAAGCCCCAAAGAAAATACAGAAACAGATAAAGAGTTATAGGGTGAACGAATATATATAGAGAATCTTCTGTTGTGCTTAGTTTGGGGTAGGAGGCATTGAAATCATGGTACCCAAGATCTGTCAGGAAGTACACACCAATCCCAGGTTATTCTTTTGTAATTACCAATATTTTATTCATCAGACCTAGTCACCTTCCACATTCCACCACAGAATTAAGATAGCCCTAAGTGGTCTCTTTAAAATTAGTGTAATTTCTAAATGCTTAAATGCAGTGTCAAAGTACACCCGAATAGGGTTCCCTACCCATCACAGAGCACAGAAGGTAATATGATCATCTACTTTGTCAGTTTTCCCAAGAACAACATAACTAGTAAACTCCAGGTACACAAGAGAAGTTCATTCGTTCCTTGTAATCGATGCTTACAGTCAAGAAAGCTCAACTGTATGTGGAAGATAGTCAAGAAACAGTGGGCCTTGTGTTGCCTAGATACTGATGATTAAAAGTCAAAAAGGAGGGGCTAGAGGTACAGCTCAGCAGGGGAAGGAGCTTTCTCCCAAAAGTCTGACCACCTGACTTGGCCTCCCAGAACCCACACAGAAGTGGACAGAGAGAAAGAAGGTTGTCCTCTGGCCTCCACAGGTGCCCTATAACATGTCCTACACAGATCACACACATAATATAGTAAATACTTTTCTAAAAAGAATCACAAAATGTATAAATTCATGCCATTGTTGTTTCTGAGCTATTAAAAAAATGAGTAGTTACAGGAAAACAAGTCCTCAAAAAGAAAATTCATATTCTGTCTGGCAGATTGTGCAGTTATGCTGTGAAACGACTTCTACAAGCTACTGGGGAAAAACACGAACAGGGAACGTGTCGTGTCACTTACGACTTGATCCTAATGTTTAGTTAATGTACTGAACATTAACTGTCTTCAAATTACTTTAAAAAAACAATCTATGAATTCTGTTATTTCGGCCAGCTCTTAAAATACCGTTGTTACCATAGTTACAATGATTGCAGACATAATTACACTTGGGGCTTTAGTCATACATTACCTAAGTATATCAGTCCGAACCCTCCAGAGCCTATCATCTTGCCCAGGGCCCACCGGTTTCCTTCCATGTCTTCCAGAATCTTGCCTTCTGGAAGTGGCACTGGAAGCCTGTACTTGTTTCTGGGTGCCATCACGTCTGTGGGCAGAGGGATGAAACAAATAGTTAAAACTCTAGCATTGACACTCATTCGTCCCAATGTCTTTCCCTGAGCTAAGATTAGGATCCTAAAGTCAATTCCAGCTGGAGAAGCCGTCCACCTATTCGGTTGGAAATTCAGACACTTTGAAATCTAAGAGCTACTGGATTGTATATAATATATATAACATATGTCTGCTGGGACTAAAGAGATGGCGGATGGTTAAGAACAGGCAATGCTTTTGCAGAGGACCTGGAGTCAGTTCCAGCATCCACAGGGCAGCTTACTACACTCTAACTCCAGCTCCCGGCCTGACGTGCTTGACACACACAGACACAGACAGACAGACATGACATAATTAAAAATTAAAATAAGTCTACGAAAAATAAAACATCTACTGTGCCTCATATAAAGGAATACTTTAAAAATCTGTTTACGGGTCTATTAATACTTAGCAAGACTACAGAATATACCTTAAAAAAGTTATTTCATTCACACGTAAATACTGCATTTGTTGAAAACGCTGTGTTAAACATGAGGCTGTTAGTGATTGGGGAAGGGTACAGCCTTAAGTTCAAAGGTCAAACACTATGACCACTAGGCAAACCACCTGGGAATGACCGGTCAATTCAAAAGGGCTTTCATGGCTATCCGGTAGATCAGGCCACTGGCTAGTTCAGGTTGTTTCTGGCTTTCTGCCTATCAGTGAGAAAACAACTTTGCCTTAGAGAATACAGCTATACAGATAAGAGAAATTTTACAACCCATAGGAAGGCCATACAACTTTTATTAATTAATTATTACATATAATACTAGCAAATTACTAATGTGAACTTTTTTAGGTTGACCAAGAACGTTCCTAGGGAGCGTGTAATTAATAAACATCAGAATAAATGCTTGAAACTAAACATGAAAGTAACCGTGGTTATTTCTAAACAAAAACAAACAAGCAAACTGGAAACTTTTGTTTGAGTTTGGCTTGCATTGCTGTGATGAACCGCATGGCTGAAAGCAGTTTGGGATTATTCCACGTCAGTCCATCCTGAGGGGCAGTCGGGGCAGGAGCTCCAAGCAGGAGTTCAGGCAGGCCCTGAAGCCGCCACCAGAGCCCGGCTCCTCGGCTAACTCCCTGCCTGACCGGTTGGGCCGGCGGGGCTTCACTGCACACACTAGGACCACGGCTCGCGGTGGGCTGAGCCCTCCTTCACCAATCACTCAACAGATCTACAAAAGTCCCCGCTTCCCAGACGACCCAGCGTGGTGACAAGGTAACAGCGACGGCCCGAGAGTCCAACCAGGACAAACGCTTTCGAGAAAAGTTGTCACGAGTGTTCGCCTCCCCTTCTCTCCCTGAGCCCGGGGCCGCCGAAACCCCCCTGGGGCCCGCAGCACGACCCTGGGGCGGAGCGGGAAATCCAAACCGCAGCGGAGCGCTGCTGCCCGGCGGGAGCGGCCGCCGGTCCCCGTCGAGTGTGCTGTCCTCCGGCCCTCGGGGACGTCCGTCCGTCCCGGGGGGGTGGGGGGGCCGAGGCTGGGCTCGGAGCCCGCACGGAGGGGACACTGACCTGCCGCCCGGGTGCCCGCGCCGCCAAGGCCTGGCAGCAGGGCGGGCCGGGCCAGGCGCCTCCCAGGGGCAGGGCGACCTCCGGGGCCGCCTTCCCGCCGCCGAGGACCGCCCGGGGCCGCCCCCGGGACAGTGGAGGGGCGGCGCCGAGGAGGACGGAGGCTTTCCGAGCACCTGACTCCCCCTGGTCGGTCGGAAGAGCCCGCAGAGGAGCGCGGGGTGGAGTGAGCCAGGCCAGCGCTTCAACAGGAAGGACTGAAGACTTCCTGTACCAGCCCTGAGCACCAACCGACTTCAAGTGGACCCAGCTCTGCCCAGCAGCTAGGCACACCCAACGCCTAGCCCTCTGGGCCCCGCACCTGGGTGTGATCACTCTAAGGCCTAGTTCAGCCACGTGTGAGTTGGATAATGTTGAAAACATAATTTTAGTTAATACATTTCTACCTTCCCATCTCTAAGATGGAAAAGATTAGTTACTGGGTTTCAAGGTGCTATGCGAACTGAGAGAAATATGTTCAGTATTTCTAAGTCTTTAACGATCTACAGTGAGTTTATGTTTTAGAGTAAACAAAACAAATCTGTTTTGGCTCAGGCCTTTAATCCAGCATTCGGGAAGCAGAGGCAGGTAGATCTCTGTAAGTTTGAAGTCATCCTAGTCCACAAACTGAGTACAGGAGAGCCAAGGGTACAAAGAGGAACTCTGTCTTGAAAACAAACAAACAAAACCCCAACTATTTAAGCAGGACTTAAGTTTCTTACCTAGAAACAGTCAATATTTCCCAGATGCAAATACTGAAAAGAAAAACTGTCTGTGAGAGCTAAAGTTATGTCTGAACTTTAAGTTACTCTCCTAAGAGATCTATATAAAACAAAAATGCCTGTAACCTGTAAGCTCCTCTTGCCCAAGGACAGGTAACTTCTAGGAATGCTGGGGCTGTTGTTCATGTAAGACAAGCCACTGGTTTTCCCTTCTGAAAACAAGATTGCTTGCTTTAACTGCACAGGTTGTGTTTGATTACATAGGCAGAAATTATGTCAGGATATTTGCATGCCCCTGATTAGACGAAGGCAGGAAAAAACACAGCCTTGTATGTTTCCTTTCATAAGCCTCTGACTGATGCAATTTGTAGCCATTCTCTGGGAATCTGGGCTATGGGCCTGGCCAGTGTTTAATAAAGCTTGCTTCAAATTTGACTCAAACTTGTGGTAGTGGTCTTATTCTTGCCTGGTAGTAATAATATCTTATCCCTAAATTTGAGGAAGTAAGAAAACGGGATTTTTATCAAACTCCAAAAATGGAAGAAGATATGAGACTGTTTCTTAAGAGAACTAGATGATATGGATATAAAGTATTTTTAAAACACATTTTGGAGACAGGGCTGTAGCTTCCTTGGTAATGTTTGTTTGGCCTGTAAGAAGTCCTCAACAAAATCCCTAGTACATAAAATGGCCCCGTGGCACAGGCCTGTGATCTCATCACTTGGGAGGGGGGAACACAAGGGAAGAGCTGAGCGTTAAGTTCATCCTCCCTACGTAGGACATTCCTGTCCAGAGAGCTCCAATAACCCAAGGGAGTAGGTGACAGGAAGAGAGACAAGTGGGTCAGTGAAGCTCATTGACCCACCACCCTTATCTTAGAGATGAACCTCAGCTTCAGTGAGGGATCCTGCCTCAAAAGTAAAGCTGGAGAACAACCGTGAGGTCCCACATACACCTCCCATCCTATCCGTTCAAAATATATTCCAAGATCCCCAGAGAATATCTGAAACCAGAGATAGAACAAAACCTTATATATTCTGTGATTGTTTTTACTGTAAGATCATTTCTGAGACAAGATAATTTTTATTTTACTTATAAATAATTTTCACTGATAAATTAGACATACTCAGAGGTTAACCATAATTAATAATAGGATGGTTATGAAGATAATCACAAGGGAAAGTTATGTGGATATGATTGTATTAGTACAGATCTTTTGCTGTGACAAAACACCATGACCAAAGGCAACTTAAGGAAGAGAGGGTTTATTTTTGGTTTATGGTTCCAGAGGGATAAGAGTCTATGGTGATGGAACAAGGGTATGCCAATAGGCAGCAGCTATGGCAGAAGGAACAGCGAGCTGAGAACTCACATCTTGAACCACAAGCACAAAACAAAGAGAACAAAGCTGGAGATGGCAGAAGACTTTTAATGCTGAAGCCAATCACAGACTACATCCAGGAAGGTAGTGCCAACTAAACCTCCCCAAACAGTGCCAAGTGTTCAGTGTTCAAATGTTTGAGGCTATCTGCGAATTTCTCATTCAAACCAGCACAAAATACCTTATTGTACCAAATCACTCTTCTTGAGATAATATGAGGTGACACAGTGTCAGTGTGGTAAACCAAAATGAGGTGAATAGTAGGGTACTAGGACATGACATTAGGCTATAAATAAGAATCATGTGAAAATAAACAGTGTAATACCTCAGGAGTCAATCTGAAAACCCTTAGAGTTACTAAATTACTGACACAGGCCACACGGTGAATATGTTAGAGAAAAGAATGGCTGAAGCGCCAAACGTAACAGAAAAGAGTCCATCACACAACCTAGGAAGGCATGCAACTTTTGAAAAACAGAAATGCAGTCCCATATCAGCAAAATCAGGCTTACAAATGTTGATTAGCTGCTGATTCCATAAAAGCCCCAAACTGGAATCAAATTCTTATTTATTAGTGAATGATAAACTACAAGCAATAAAGATCTTATATGATAAAATCTCACCCAGCAACAAAACAGAGCAAACTAGTGATCCAAGCACCAACCTGATCTCAAGCACCTGCCACATGAATGGAAGGAGACATGCATGGGACTACATTGGAGTGTTCCGGTTAAGTGAAGCTGCCAGAGTGTGGGTTGAGGAGATGCAGACAGCTATAGGATCTTTATGGATGGATGGAAATGTGTTGAGTTGTGCTTACATACTTACAACCTTGCCAAAATCCTAATCATACACTTAAAATTGATGACTTATAAAACAGATTTAAAAGAAAAGAATGTCAGAAGACCAAGATGGGAAGAAGCTGCATCCTTGAAGCTGTTAGTAACATACAAATTCGGCTGACCTTCCAGCAGCACACATTTCCACCGCCATAAACTGTCAACGGTCCCCATCCACCAAGCCATGAGCTTGAGGTTTATATTCCTTGCAGCCAAAATCTTCCTAATGTTCCAACAAAGTTACAAGTTTCATAGATGTTAATTATTATTATTTTAAAAATGATACCACAACAGATATTATATGAAAGAGTTTATTTGGAGGAAGGGGAGCAGAAGAGAGTTAGGGCCTGAGTGAGCCATGAGGGCTCACTCAGACAGACAGAGAGGGAAAGAGACAGAGACAGACAGACAGACAGACAGACAGACAGACAGATAGATGGGGAAAGGGCATGCTGACAGAAAAAGGGGAGAGAGTAAGAGAGAGGAGCAAGAGAGCAAGAGTAAGAGAGAGAGAGGAAGTGGTAGACCTGTCACTATGTATCTGGCCCAGATGGTGTCATAGGAAGTGGTCGGGACCCTAAAGGTCCCTAAGGGAGGGCTAGTTGAATTGCCTGTACAACATAACATTAATGACTTTCAAGTAGTAATGAATTTGTACTAATTAAAAAGAAGATCAGTAGTGCAGGTAAACCTACATTGAGTACATTTTCCAAGTGTTAGGATTTAATGCAGAATTTTATGATTCAGAGCATATTGCTGCGTGTATGTTTCAAGATGAAAACTGACAGAATATAGAAATACAAATTTTGGAACTAGTGAAAGAATATCGTCTGAGTGAATGTGATGAGAAACAAGAAAGAAAGGAATTTAGACAGGAAAGCATTGAGTCATCAGGAAAAAAAAGATTAGGAAAATTAGGATTTCAAACAAACGTATTTTGATAGATTTTACAAGCTATGACTGATTTGACACCAACATGCAAAAAGCCTTTCTTGGTTCTGTGCCAACTCTTGGGTTTGGTGAGCGCTCTGTTTTCCAAAGGGCTAGGTGTTGTAAAATGCTTACACCAGCTAAAAGGAATAAGGAAAACCCCAGCATTTAGTGAGCTTATTACAAGGCCAACATCATCTAAAAATCAATTAAAGTGTTAAAGATGTTGCACAGACGAAACATTTCAAAAAAGAAAACAATCTTTGTTATTAATGTGATACAAAGAGACAGTGAAATACTTTGCCTGCCAAAGTGATACCTTTTGTTTTATAAAATCAGAAGGCCACTTACAACTTCTAAGCCTACAATCCCTAGAGAGCTAAGCAATTACTGACACAGAAAAATTTGAAAACAATGCAGTTCAAGGAATTAGATTCCAAACCTGTCAGAAATACAACCTGATCAGACATCTATGTCCTTTCATATCTTTGTATAGGAGATGCTGTACTTGACATGAACTGTCTCAAAGGTTCGTGTAGTGAAAGTTTGGTCCCTCATCTCTGGGGCTTTGGGGAAGTGATTGGACCAATGAGATGTGAACTTTGGTAATATTTTAATTCATTGATGAGTTCATACTGAAAGGAATTATCATGAAGTTGGACCTAGTTGGAGAAAACAGGTCACGAGAAGCATGCCTTAAGAGTGTATCTTGGCCCTAGAGCTCATCTTTCTCTCTGCTGACTGGCTACCATGAGATGATCATCTTCTCTGCCACACATCCTTCCAACTTTAATACAGTACCAAAATAAGGGTGTCTCTGCAAACCCTGAACTGGTGAGCCAAATCCCTGCTCACTTTAGGTTGATTTCCTCAGGTATTTTGTCATAGTAATGTTGACTAACATGAGACCAGTTTAAAGTATGAACATGACCATCCAAATGACATGATTATTGGTTGTCCATATAATTCAGAATAGCAGATCTAAATTCA